AGATGTCCCTCAAAGCCACATCCAGCTCCTCGGCCGCGTCACCCGCCCCGTCCCCAGCCCCGGCCACGCTCGGCTCTTACCGTGCGGCCACCACCGGCGACTTCTTGCCGGGATCCAGGGTGGAGCCGGCCGGTTCCTCGCCCAAGGAGCGCGTGTCCTTGTTGAGCTGCTGGAGGCGGGAGCTCAGCTCGCTGATCACAGTTGGTTTGTCCTCTTCGGCCCCGTGGCCGGGCCTGCTCTCCATGGGGTCCCCCCATAGCTTGGACCTTCTCTGAAAGAGGTAGCGTGGCCGGGCCGCGCTGGTGGCCGCCAGCGTGGCCGCGTGGTGCTGGGAGATGAGCTCGCTGTCCGAAGACTGCTTCAAAAGTGGGTCCCTGAAAGTAACCGGCCCCTTGCTGAGCTGGGACTTGAGTTTGGGCTTTGGAGGCACTGGTGGCTTCTCGAGTAGAAAAGTTTGGCCGTCGGCGAAGGACGTGTAGGTGTCGGTGGGCTCGCCGCTCTCCGAGGACAGCGTGGACATGCTGGAGACCGTGGAGATGGTGCTCGTGGTCTCCAGGTGGTGGTCGCTGGAGCTCCTGGTGTCCACCTCTTCCACTCCCGAGTCCGCCGCCGACTCCGGGGCCGCGGGGGCGTCCGAGGGCTTCCCTGAGGGTGTCGCGCCGGGGGGAGAAGGTGCTACTGCTGCCGCTGGCAGGGACGGCGTGCCGGGCGCGGCCAGCTGGCTCACGGGGGTGCCGGGGGTGGTCACCAGCACCCCGTTGGCGAATTCGTCCGGGGGCGGCACCAGCCCGATCTTGGCCAGCTCCTCGCGGGTCTCCTCGTCGCTGGAGGACAGCTGGGCCGGCGGGAGGGTCACCGTGTAGGGCTCCACCTCCTCCTCCGAGCTGCCCTGGCCCAGCGCCTTCTCCGAGGCCGGGCTGGCCGGCGGCTTCCCCACGGGGCTGGGCTGGGGCTCGGCCTTGGGGGACTCGGCCGGCTCGGCGCAGACCTCGGGCACGGCCGGGCTCTCCTCTTTGATCTCCAGGCCTATCTCGTCTTGGCCGTTACTGGTGGCGTGGACCATGATGAGGCCGGCGGTCTTCTGCTGCGACGTGTCCACGATGCTGATGATCATGGACTTCTTGTCCTCGGGTTTCTTCTCCTCCTTGCCCGGCAGCTCCGCTCGCACCTCGGGCTCCTTCCGCAGGGTGGTTGGAGTCGCCCAGGGGCTCTTGGTGGGGGTCAGAGCGCCGGCGTCGGCCGCCATCGCCGCCTTCCCACCGGGGGAGTAGGCGGGGGACACCAAGCTCTCCAAGTCCCCCCTGTCCGGTTCTTTGGTTTGGATGTCCACAAACAGGGGCGCGGCTCTGTCCGAGTCGGGGCTGTGGATCGGGGTGGGCGACCGGGATGGGACTTGAGTGGACAGCGCCCGTTCCCTTGCGGCCAGCGCCAGCGCCAGGGGCGAGTTGGGGTCCAGGGGCTTTCCCGTCAGGGGGTGGATGAAGGTCGAGGAGGAGCTGCTGATTAATGGCTTTAAAGCTGACACGGGCGACGGCAGGAGGACGTCCCGGCTGCCCAGGAGCCGCTCGTCGATGGAGCGCGACTGCTGCAGCGACGGCATCTCGCCGCCGCCCGGCGCCGGCCCCTCGATGGCTCCCACCGACAGGAACACCGTGGATTTCCTCCTCTCGTCCAGCCGCCGGTCCCGGTCCTTCATGACGCCGGCGGCGATGGCGGTGGCGAAGGGGAGGCCGGCGGCTTCCACCTGAGCGATGCCGGGGTGGTGCTGGTAGTCCAGGCGGTGGCTCCGGCGCGTGGGCGACGGCTCCCGGGAGGAGTAGCCGCCGGTGATGGCCAAGGCCGCCCGTTCCTGGGCGTCCTCCACCTGGAGCTGCTTGACCAGGGGGCTCTTCTTCCTCTGCGGCTTGGTGGGGGCGAAGAGGCTGACGTTGAACTGGCCCATGTTGGCGTAGGGGTTGTCGATGACCCGGCCCTTCCTCTTGAGCTTCTCCGGAGGCGTCGCCGCCGGGCCGGGCCGCGGGATCTCGGTGGGTTCCACGGGGAGGTGGGAGGAATCCTGGAGGATGATCATGGAGCGGGCCCTCTTCTGCCGCTCGGGGTAGGGCATGGAGCCCCTGGCCTGGTCGTACATCTCGGCCGCGCTCAGCACCTGCGGCAGCCCGTGCAGTTTGGCTTCTAAGCCCGGCTTGAAGCTGGACCTGATGGTGTCGTAGGCCCGGCCCGGCGGCGGCGGCGGCGAGAAGGACGGAGGGGGGCCGGTGTCGAAGTAATAGGGGGAGGGCGGCGGGGGAGGGGCGGTCTGCGGGGGAGGGGGGATCCCGTGGCCTTCCCGGACCGTGTCCGTCATGGAGGTGCTCCGCGGGAACTTCCCGTCCAGCAAGGAGGCGGCCAGTTTCTCGTCTTCCCCTGGAAAACAAGGAGA